TTCCAGACCATTCACAAGACGTGAGTTGGGGGAACATAGGGGTCCCTTACCCCAGGGGTAATGCTGCGTGGCTGGGCTGTCTGGTAGCTGACTTTCAGGTTCCTGAAAGTCACCAGGGAAGCTGGGTAGTGTGTTGGCAATACCTTGACATCTATGTGGGTACTTGTTGTCTTACCATACAGAAGAATGGTGTGATTGTGGACAAGTTGTCTCTCTGGGCTTCAGTTTGTTCATCTGTAAGATTTAGTTTTGGATTCGATTATCCCTAAGGGTCCCTTCCAGACTTAGTATTCGGTAATTTAGAACTAGTGATTTCTTTGTCTTTTATTATTTTAATCTTGTTGTACCTTTTTCTAAAAGCTTATGTAGTTTTATTACGGAAAAGTTATATCTGTTTTGCTTTTCCTAATTGTACATTGGGGTGAACATAGGGAGTTAGGGAGAGCAGAAGGCCACCGTATTACCACCTCCTAAAAGACATTTTGTCACAGCAGAAGTCATTTGACTCTCCACTAGCTTCCCTGGTTGCTGAAAAACTGAAACATTTGACACCCCCCTCCCTCCTGCTGCCTTATGTTACCCTATTTAACCACCTGGGTCTGGTGCACAGATGGCAGCTGGCATCAGAGCTGTTTGAGTCCATGGTGTGAGTATCTGAACATTTACAGGTATGTGAAGGAATTCTCTTAGTAGTATCAGCTGTCCTGGGTTTCCCAAAGTGTGAACTGGAATGGGTTTTCCCAGTCTGGCAAGGGCCCAGCTGTCTGATAATTGAGAAGGACAAGTTTGAGGAGCAGCTTCCATTTTAGGTAGTGGGCAGAGTACAGATCACAATAAGATGGGGAATTTGTTCTCTCTTTCTAAAGGTGCCATTTCTCCCTAGGCCAAAGGTTGGCAAACTATAGCCAGCAGGCCAAATCTACTTATTTGTTGTCGTTTTTTATGTTTGTTTTCTTAAAATATGTTTTATTGATTTCAGAGAGAGGAAGGAAGAGGGAGAGAGAGATAGAAACATCGATGATGAGAATCATGATTGGCTGCCTCCTGCACGCCCCCTGCTGGGGATTGAGCCTTAACCAGGCATGTGCCCTGACTGGGAATCCAACTGTGACCTGGTTTCGGGTTGATGCTCAACCACTGAGCCACACCACCTGGGCTAAATCTGCTTATTTGTTTATATATCATCTGTGGCTGCTTTTGTGGTACAGTGGCAGAGTTTAGTAGTTGTGACAGAGATTGTATGGCTTGCAAAGCTTAAAATATTTGCTGTCTGACTTTTTATATAAAAAGTTTACCATCCCTTGCCTTGGGCTGCTACTTAAGTTGAATCTATTGGCCTGAGCCTCACTGTTTATTTGTAACTCAATTTGGTTTGGACCTTCAGGGGCTGCCACCAAGTTTTCTATGGGTTTCTAGGTCCCTAATGCCTCAGAGCAATTCTTCTGGGCCCTCCTCAGAGTAAATGTGCATCAGTTTCATTGCTTTTCCTAGCCACTGGTGCCTATGAAATGTTTCTGGGCTACTGCTTCCTATGCGCTGCTGGCAACTATTGTTGGCTGGGTGGTGAGCTGGGAACTTGGGGTCGGCAGGAGGTGTGAGATGCCTGCAGGAGGTAACTTTTACTTGTTTTCTTTTCCTTCCAGCATTAAAGACTGTAAATGGCAAGAAAAAAACATCATAGTCATGGAAGAAGTTGTTATTACACCCCCATATCAAGTGGAAAACTGTAAAGGCAAAGAGGGGAGTGCACTGAGCCATGTACGCAAAATAGTAAGTAAAGGAGCCATGAAACTTTATAAGTGAGGATGATTCCTTGGCCTTCACCCACCAGCATCAGGACGGGACAGTGTGTTACAGATTTCTGCCTCCTCTTACACAGCCAGCTTGCGAATAGCCCTGCTTTGCCACCCTGTCTCCCTGCAGTGTGCTGCTCTACAGCTGTGGCTTGGACACTCCTGCGGGGGTGGAACCAGTGGGTAGTGTGAAATAAAGCAAGTGGTCGTTTGCAGTGTGGTCCTCTGTAATGTGTGGCTTTTTGGAATTCCATGGTATTGGGCCTGAGCAGTTCCTCTGATCTCAGGCTGGGTTCTTAGGAAAGGCTGGTTGGTATAAATCAGCCTTTGGCCTCAATCTTAGTTGCCCTTGGTCTCTCTGACCCTGCATATGTCACCTGACTTTTTAGGTTGAGTTGTAGCATTTATTAAAAAAAACGGCATTGACCAACATTGTGGATATAAAAAAGTTTAAAGACTAATTTCCCACCAGCTTTCTGTTCTGTACTTGTGTGAAGAAGAGAGAGGGATTTTGGATCATAATTTCTCTTCAATTTCTATTTTAGTTTATAGATTCATCTTCTTTTAGCCATTCTTAGCTGAAGCTGCAAAAAATGTGGCTGAAACAGGTGACTTCTACCTGCCTTGTTGGAAGGGCCAACAGACAGCAAAGGCAAAGGCGCCTGAATAATCTGTGGGCTGGTCAGCCAGGATGGGGCTGTTGAAACCTGGAGTGGACTGTTTGAGAGGCCTTGAGTGCCTATCTCCTTTTCTGACCTAGGCTGACTGGTCTCTTTCAGGTTGAAAAACATTTTAGAGATGTGGAAAGCCAAAAGATACTGCAGCGTTCACAAGCCCAGCAACCACAGAAGGAGGCTGCCCTGTCATCCTGAGTCCACATACATGGAGGACTCTTCCAGCATCCAGCCAAGGAGGCGATGGTGGTGGCTTCAGCGGAGGCAGGCCGGGGGAGGGAAGGGATCCTATGTTTCCTGTTGGCTCTTGTTAACAAAGGGTCAGCATTTCTAAATCTTAGACTTGAACAAACAAAACACCCAACAAAAAGAACAAGAGAATAATTTAAAAGTTGAATCATTACTTGACTAACAGACTTTGGTCCACCATGTCCTTTTCACAGCCCCCTTCTGGAACAGTCACCTTGTTAATTTTATTTTTGAAAATTACTTTCTGGCTCTACCCTTTCACCTCTGACTTTCATTTCCTAGTCTGTCCCTGCCATTCTGTTTTTATAAGTGGCTACACTTGCCTTCTGAATGATTGAAAGAAACTTTTACATCTTCTCTTCCAAAATAAAAGTAACAAGCTGACTGTGATACTTAAGTTGAGACTAGAACAGCAGACAGAGGTCTCACTTTAAATTTTCCCTTTTTTTTTCTTTTTTTGCACAGGGCATGGCTTGAATTAGTTTTATTTTTCTTAACTTTAAATATATATATGAAAATATATATTAAAATGTTCTCTAAATATTTTCTGCTTCTTGCAGGTCTCTTTTTACTAGATCATGGCCACTCTTCCCACCTCATCCCTCTGAAAATAAAAATGTGTTGCCCTCCCCACCACCCATAGCCAGGCAACTAACTTGACTTAGTTCACAGCGTATGCAGATGGGAATTGGCTTTGAGGGTTCCTGATGGCTTTTAGTCTTTATGTGTATATCAGTCTCACATTTGGCTGAAACTTCAGGATTCTCCTTCTGCCTTTTGTCTTCATGGTACTAGAAGAATCTCCTCACCACTCTCCTGTCTCCTAGATGAGAGTGTCAGCCGCCCTTTTCTCCAGTGTCCTCTGCGGAACTATTTTGCATGGCACATCTCAGCTCCTCTTTGAGGGATGATATTCTTTATGAGAAACCTGGAGTCCACCTATCCCGACCTCTCTTTGCGTGCGAATTCAGAGTCACCAGCCCAGGAGAAAACTTGGGTTACCTATAGTTTCTCTTCTGCTAACCTCCTACTCTTATGCCCATGCCCACTCTCTTTAAATTTTACAAGCTTATGACAGTTTGTATGTGCTCAGCCGATGGGCAGAAAACCTGGAAAGAGTTCTGGACTTTAGCCCACCAGTTTGTCTGGTTTGAATAACCTGCTGAGAGCCAAAACTGGCACCCGTTGCTCCATGCCTTCAGGGTGGTCCAGTGGGGCAGAGTGTGCTACCCTTTGAGTATTGGGCACTGAGTGGGATGTGGGTGATGCTCATGTGACTGGCTAGAGCTTTGGGGGTGGGGTGGGGGTTAACTACTATTTTTTTGGCCATGATCTCTTTCCCCTTTCCTTTTTTTTTTTAATTAAATAAATGGATCAAAATTAAATAATTCAAGCCCTGCCTTCAAAATGAAATTTTTTTTAGTATTGTTTAGCAAAAACAATAAAAACCCAAATTTTTTTAACCATCACTCATGTCTCGGGTTTGTGTGTGCTTTAGAGGCCCCAGAGGGAGAGGATCTGAGAATATGTGTGCTTGATTTGACTTTTCCCTTTAGTTTCTTTGCTTCCTACTCTATACCCTCTCTCCTGTACTCCTTGAGAACTCATCCAGAAATACGGTACAAAGTGTGTAATTTAAGAAGGGCATCCAGGATTGGGAGCTGTGTGTAAGTGGAGTAGGAGAATAAATGGTACATGCATTAAACCATTTGTAACAGGACTGTTTAGAGGAAAAATGAGAGAAGACTGAGAAGTAAACTTTCATATTCACCTGCCATTGGCCAGAACTTAAAGTACCATTCCTTTGATTTAGTATGCATGGAAATGTAGACTTCTGGAGAAGGTAAAAGGGAAACAAGAAGAGACCTTGCAAGATCTAGAGAACCTAAGAGGTATGATTAAAGGGGTGAAGGTAATTAGTGGGAAATAGCAAGCCCAGGGGAGGCGCTGCCACATCTCCTGTGTTATCACGTCCTGTTAGTCCCTAGATCTGTGAGTGGGAGACAGTACTGTTTCTGGTAGGAAGCACTTTTGACTCTGGTTTTAATTTATGAAGTGATGAGGGGGAACTTTAAGTAGTTCAAGAGAGAGAGTTAGTGTGGTGGGAAAGACAGGCAGTGAGGTGTAGAATAACGGGCTTCAGTTCACATCCTTACATCTTTTTTTTAAATTCAATTTTTTAAAATTGATTTTTAGAGAGAGGGGAAGGGAAAGAGAGAAACATTGATCAGCTGCCTCTCACATGCACCCAGACCAGGAATCGAACCTGCAACCTGGCTGTGTGCCCTGACTGGGAATCGAACCCGCCACCTTTGGTGTATGGGACGACACCCCAACTGCGCCACACTGGCCAGGGTCCACATCTTTATTTCCTCACTTTGTATTGTAGATAAGTCATTTCACCTGTCTGCACCATTGTTTCTCCAACTGTAAATAACGGAACTAATACCCATCTCCTAGAATTGGTGTGAAGGGTTAAGAAAGATATTGAAAATGCCTAATACTTAGAAGATGCTCTAAATAATATAAATGTTCTATTGGTCCTATGATGGTGAAGTCTGAAATGAGATTGGATTAGATGATTTCCAGAGGCTTCAACTTTGTTTTAGAAGTCTGTTTAGATGGCGTTTTAAATGAGACTAATATGTAAAATGTTTGGGCAGGGGTAGGGGTGTCAGAGCCCTGTCCTCTCAGCCTCTCACAGATCTTACCCCTACCCCTTCCCTGGAGCCCCTGAAGAATTTCTTTGATTATAATTTGAAAATTGCTCATTTTGCAGAAAGAAGGGCAGTGAGCTCCATTGGGGTGAGGGACGTATTGAGAGTACCACTGCTACCTGTGGTGGCAGAGCTGGAACAAAACCTGTGGGGTCCCACTACTGCTTTGTGAGTTTCCAAACTATTGGCATGTGTACTACTCACATTTGTTTGCCAGGTTTAGGGTGGGATACAGAGGAGACAGGCGAGTGGCCGAAATTGCCCCCTTATGATTGAAAGAACATTGGACTGTTGAAGAGTGTGGTGCCAGAAGTCTTCCATTTGTGATGAAACATACAGGTAGTTTTGTACTGTCTCCTTGGCCTTGAGACATTCTCCTTCCTCTCCAAATACACACACTTCTATACCCCAGCACCCGATTACCTCCTCATTGCTACATATGCCTTTGGGTTTACTGCTGTTTAGAACATCCAGTTTGTTTGGTATAAACAGCCTTCCCACACTGAGTTGATACTGAATCTGCCATTCAAGTTGAGCAGCTCATTACTGATTAGTGTTTTAAAATTTTGAAAGTTGCTCGAACATGTCAATATTGGTTCAGGGGCTCCTACCTGGGAACCACTGATACAGGGTAAAGGTTCCTTAACACTTTTGAAGCTAAGAATGTGTCAAAATCTGTTCTTCCTGGCTGGTGTTGCTCAGTGTTTAGAGCGTCAGCTCATGCACCAAAGGGTCGTGGGTTCAGATCCTGGTCAAGAGTACGTACCTGGGTTGCAGGTTCAATCCCTGGCCCCGGTTAGGGTGCATGTGGGAGGCAAGCAATCGATGTGTCTCTCTCATCCATGTTTCTCCCCCCCCTTTCTAAAAAAAAAAAATCAATGGGAAAAAACCTCGGGCGAGGATTAACAAATAAATAAATCTGTTCTTCCATAAGATACGCTGGTTAAAGAAGGAGTAGAGGGTTTTCAGTCATATACTGAACTAGCACCTACTGTCCTGTTGACGGAGGATACTGTGGTGAGAATGTATGATGTTAGAAGCTACAATGTACAAGATGAGTGGTAGGGACAAGAGTGTGGGAACGGGGACTGGTCATCTCAGTTGGAAGATGATCATTGTTTAGGTGGTGGATTTGTTTTCCCATCACTGCTGCAAGCTGTGGGTGCCAGAGAATTCCCTTTTAAGAAACTTGAAATCATCAAGCCTGTATTGCCTAAACTTCAGGGGTTTAACACCATGAAGTATCTTACAGGTGAAAAAGGGATGCCATCCACTGGTGATGGGCTGCTGCTAGGTTATAAAGTTTCAGAACAAGTTCTTTTATGTTCTTACATGGCTTATTACAGGAAAATTAGAAAATAAGGCAAACATTTTCCATCTGCCACCTAAGACATTGTTAACATCTTTCATGTCCTCTAGGTTCTAAGACGCTTCTGTCCTTTGCATTTCTGAAAATGCAGTGCACTTCACAATGTCAAAAGAAACTTGTCAACTCGTTTTCTCATCCTTGGCCCACAAAGTGCACTCTATAATCTGTTGGCATGTTAGATGTGTTATATATAAAAGATATGAGGCTGGGTGATCTCTGAGGTTATGTGCAACCTCAGTAATTCTGTCTTCTATGTCTTTCCTACAATGCCTTGCTTCAGAGCCACCTCTGAAGCCATCCTTGACAATTAAAACGGAAAGTGATTCCTGTAACTTGTTTATATCATGTCATGTGGCATGAATAATTTGTATTATAGTTACTTGTTTAGGTTTATCTTTAGTGGCCTAATGGGGAATTTGGGGCTCGAAGGCAAAGGTTGTGACTTACACATTTTTGTATTGTTCTCCAGCACCCAACCATTGAGGTAAGACTGAAGGTAAAGTTTTGAAAGTCATCAGTTTAATAACTGAGTTGCCTGAGCCAAGGTAAGATGTGATCCAGTACTGACTGGGTTTTGAAGAAAGCTTGAAGTCAAGTTTGGAAAGAGGACAAGGGACCAATAAAGGTCATGGGAGGAGATGGGAAGGAAGGTGTACCTCGTTCCAGCTTGAGAAGCAGCTGGGCTTGCCCCTGATTTCTCCAGAGCAGATGCGGGCAACTGGGACCAAGGCTGGTCAGACTGAGGCCTCCCTGTCTCATTTTCCTTTAATTTTCAATTTTTTTGACAAGTCTAAAGTGGAACAAAGTTTCTTCCTGAACTGGTGAGGTGAGGGTAAGGCATATTTCTAGTGACTTCTCAAGTAACCTCTTCTCCCTTTTCCCCAACCAATCATTCTGGGGCTGATTGCAACAGGTAATCTTCAGTGGAGGTACTAACAAGTGGTTTACTTTTCTAATCGGGCCCCCTTTATTCTGGTCTCTGGCTTGAAGTAGTTGCTTATGCTTTGCTATAGGAAGGTTTGTGTACTGTTTTAAAGAGAATATGCTGGGATGGCCTCTGAGATGTGATTTAAGCTGAAATTTGAAGAACAAGGTGACAGCAAAGAGTGCTCGGGTAGAAGGAATAGTCAGTGCTAGATACGAGGTTGACAAGAGCTTGGGATGTTTAGGAATCTCTAGGAGATAGGTGGCTGAAGCCTAGTCAGCAGGATAGAGAAGTGGGCAGGAGCCACTTCATGCAGGGCCTTGTAGCCATTGAAGGGACTGGAATCTGTTCTTGGCACAGTGGGGAGCTGTTGGAGGGTGTTAAGCTGTCAAGGGATTTAACCTGATGTTAGGTGGCAAAAGTGGAAGCAGGAAGACTTGTGTTAAGAGGCGGTTGTAGTAGTCTAGGCAAGAGATGGTGTTGACAGAAGTGATTGCAGGACTGATAGGACTTGCTGATGTATTGGATGTGAGGGCAAGGTGGTGAGGGAAAGAGGAACTAAGAATGACTTCTCGGTGGATGATGAACAATGGGAGAGGAAGAGGTTTGTGGAAAAACTAAGTACTGTTTTGCCATTTTGTCTTGCTGATGAAACACTGAAGAGCAGATGGCAGCTGGGCAGCTGGAGGGTGAGCCTGGAATTCAGAGGAGAGGACTGGTCCGAAGCTACACACTTAGTCATTACCTTGTCATGAACTCTACAAAAATGGGGGATGAGATTCATGGCCACAGTAGATGTTTTGGCCTCTGATAGGAGGGGGCTCTTCCTTCACTATAAAGAGGAAGGAAGGAGAAGACAGTAGTACAGTGGAAGGTGAGTTTGTAGATTTGGCAGGGAGGTGAGGGTGAGGGAGGATGTGTCCTGTGGCTCAGTAAACACGCAAGGGAAGTACATAAGATTGTTGAGTTCCTTTTAGAGAGGTGTGCTTGTGCATTTAGGGTGCAGCTAGCCAGGTGCCCATTGTGTGACTTTGTGTTACTTGTGTTGAGTGACTTGGGTGCAGACACAGCAGGTGAATAGTTGGGTACAACCAGGGTGTTCATCAGATCTGTATAGAGGGAGAAGGGATTTCAGTTGAGGGTATTTGGAAGGGAGTAATATAGTGATGGAACATTCACCCCTACAGATGGAAGCTGTCATCAAATATACTTCGGTTATTGTTCCGATTAGGCTTTCTGATGTCTTGCTGTTTGTTATGCCCCCTGTGCTGGCTATAGGAAAGACGTGCAGCCATGTAAATCCAGGAGTCAGTATGTGAACAGTGTGCAAAAATATAGGATGCCTCCAGTGCCGGGGCTGGCCCAGGTGTGGTATGGGAGGCTCAGCGCAAGTATCCCAGCACTCAGAGATGCCAGGGATCTTGGAGCTCATGTGAAATAGTCCAGCCTCCCAGTTTAAATAGCTCCCACAGACTGCCCCTACTTGAGCCCTTTGATTGATGAGAAGCTTACTGCTTTGAGAAGCAATATGTGACAGCTGTTTTGTGCCCTTTTGTCCTCCAAGTAGCTGCTCATTTCTAGAACTGTGGCTAGACTAGTCTCAGGTCTCCTGCAAGCTAGTACTTGTACTTTAGGATGTTTCCTTTTCCTGGCAGCCCTTAGGGGAGGAGCACAGAAGTTACTAAACCGGCAGATGTGACCGGGAGCTGTCTTATCTTCAGTTAAATGGCTTACTTTTAGCCAACTATTCCAGCCTATTAAGAGCTTTTTACAAATCTCAATTCTATAATATGCTAGTTATCCTTCCCAATGTTTTGTTAGTTCCAGTTTTTATAAACTGTCTTCCAAAGGGATATCGTGAGAGACTTTAATAAGATCCAGATGTTCGCCTGTGACAGCCATCCAGTAACCCTGTTAAAAGAAATCAGATTGTATGAGAATCACTGATTTTTAGTAGAGTCATGTGAGCACCTAGTGGTCATCATGTTTAAGTAACTGGTCAGCATGTTCAGTCAGCCCTTTTTGAATTTTATTAATTGTTACACTTGCTTCTCTCACTTGAAAATTGGAACTTTTGCTCAAGTCTCTGGCAACCTTCTGTTTGTAATGTTTTCTCAAAGATTATTGGCAGTGATTCTTCAAGTTTTTCCAGTATAGTTTGCTGAACCAGAGTACTTGAATTAATTCAAAGGAGCACAAGTCTGATCAGCTAAAGGCTCAGATTCATATCCTAGGTTGGTGGTGGACCCCATTCTGCTCTTCCCATTCAGGGGACAATCTGTAGATTATGATTTCTTAGAGGGTCGTTTGGCTGGGATGGGGGACAGTGGCCCAGTCTTTGGGGCACTGTAGCTTAGTGGTTAGGAACATGGCTGGATTCAGACAGGCCTGAGTTGTCTGTCAGATTTCATCTTTGCTACTAATTAGCAGTATGACTTGGCAACTTGCCTGGCTTTGCCTAGCATCAGTTTCCTCATCTGTAAAATGAGTGTCTCAGTTGAGGATTAAATGAAGCCTTTAATGAGATGCTTGGCCCTTAGTAACCATCTCTTCCAAATGCCATTATTCTTTTAAGAATTTGCTGTGTGGAGCTAATGAGCCCACTTGGGAACATAGAAAGTAACTTGTTTGGCCTCCTATGGCCAGGCAAAAGCACTGGATACAGACCCCTCTGCTCCCAGAGCCCTCTCTGTTTCAGAAGGAGATGCTAGGTACTCTTTGAAAGCCGGAGTGGAGTATTTTGACCTTTGGACTAGTGAGAACAAGAGAGCATTCCCTTCCTTTGTGTCTAGACAAGACCTAGGTGAATTATAGATGATGGCAGATTTATTAGGCAGGTAGTATAGAATGAAAGATGAGACACCTGGCTCCAAGGGGAGCCATCCTGATATAAAATAGAGCAGAGTGTGGGGTTCCAGAAGGGAGAAAGGGGAGGGGGTTGGATCTGTTCTTAGAACAGGGCAGGGTCCTGCTTTCTGGATATGACCATAAGATCTTGGAGGTGTCCTCAACCTATGTCTCCCACCCTCAGGGCCATGGCTTCCCTGGGAGCTGAGATCTTTACTGCTTTGGGGGGTGGGGCTCTGGCCTGAGGCCAAGAGGGCAGGTAACAAAAGCTGAGATTCTTTCCACCGCCATTCCTGGCTGGGGCTGCATTCAGCATGTGGTGCCAAGAATATAGGTGAGTGCGTTGGGCTTCTGAGGCCTAAGGCCTTGACCTCAGTGGCTAGATTAGGCCAGGATCTAGTTAGGACTCTATCCAGCAGATAGGAGAAGGCATTTCTGCTGGAGCTGTGTGAGAAATAAGTGAGGTGAGGTACGAAGTTGGAGTGGAAAAGGGATTTGGAGGGTTAGAAAGGCCATCTTCCCTGATTGCTTTTTTTTTTTTTTTTTAATCCACACCTGAGGATATTTTTTCCATTACTTTTCAGAGAGAGTGGAAGGGAGAGAGAGAAACATCAGTGTAAGAGAGAAACATCAATTGGTTGCCTCCTGCATGCACCCCACAGGGGCTGGGGATTGAGCCTGAAACCAAGGTACGTGCCCTTGGCTAGAATCAAACCCAGGACCCTTCAGTCTACAGGCTGACGCTCTAACTACTGAGCAAAACCAGGTAGGGCCTGATTGCTTTTCATTCTAGTAGGAATAAGGGAATGAGAGGTGGCTGGGGGTGGGGGATCAGGATGCTGGGGTCTCCAGCTGAGTTGGCTCTTGCCAGAACCTAGGTAGCAGGTAAAATCATGGGGAATGGAGGGGAGATTCCTTGAGACCACATTGGGGGGCCAGAAAGTGAGAAGACCCGTGAATGGTATCTGCTTTTATTTTTCTCTCCTAGCTCCCATGTTTGCCCAGGGTTCTGGAGGAATGAAGCGTAAAGGTCTCCCTATCCATGAGTGCCTGAGGCCATCCTTGCCCTAGCCCCTCGGGGTAGGTGTGGCCACTCCTTCCTCGCAGTGGCTGTGGCCACAATAATGGCATCAGCCTTGCTTGGGAATCTGGTGGCAGCATACACAGTACCATGCACCTGCCCAGCCATAGGCTGCGTGGTGGACTGGGGACCTCCACCTGCTCAGCCTCCCTCCCAGGCTTCCTGACCGAGTGGCTCTTAAGAGTTGAGCCACAGTAATCCAGCTACATGCCACAGGCTCCTTCCAGGGCCTGTGGGGCCTGCCAATGCTGCTGCTTTCTCACAATGTCCTATGGGATCTGGCTGGTGGAGCACTGGGGGGCCTGGGTTTCCTGGAATGGCTGGACCTCAGCTACAACCAGCTGGTCCACCTGTCCATGGGCTTTTTGGCCACCCTGGGCTCTTTGTTCCACCTGGACCTCTCTCACAACCTGCTTGCCACCCTGGACCCCTGCAGCCTATGGGGCCTGGGGAACCTGAAACAGCTTGACCTGAGCCACAGCCAGGCTCAGGGGCCTCTTCTGCCTACAGTGGCTCTTGCTGACTTTCACTGGCTGGGAACCAGCTGCAGCAAGTTGGGGATGCAGCCCTGGCCACCATGCGAGGCTTGGAGGTCCTCTCGCTGGGAATGACATCAGCAAACTGGAGGCTGAGGCCTTTGCAGCCCTACAGGTGCTGGGCCTCCTCTCTCTAGTAGGCAACAGGCTGCAGCACCTCGAGTTCAAGGTGATGGTGGGCATCTGGACAGCATGCACATGGCTGCTGCTGTCCAATAATCTCTGGGTATGCGACTGTGACCTGAGCGGGCTTCGGGAAGCTGGACTGTCTGTGGCACTTGCATGTGGCTGACCTAGGCAACCTAACTTGTGCTGGACCTGGGAGGCTGGTGGGGGGGCAGTACTGAGCAGCGTGAAGGTTGGGCTCTGTCAGAGACAGCTACTGTGCTGGATGGGGTATCATGGGCACCATGCTAGTCATCTTGGCTGTGGCTGTAGTCATGGCTGAATGCAAGTGCAGTTGGGGGGGGGGAGCTCAGAGGAGCAGGGGAGCCCTCTGGAGAGGTAGGGGATGCTGTAGAGTGAAGTTGAGTCAGCCAGATTGGGGAGAGCAGATAGAGCTGTGGAAGAGGAAAAGGGGTGTTCCTCAAAAGTTTTATGGACTTGTCTGTCCAGGCAGAGGTGGTGGCAGGAGGGACAAATGGCTGTGTTCATTTCAGGTGTTAGGACCCCCTACTTATTTACCTCTTGTGATCTAGCACAATGCTAGCTAGCATTTTTCCCAGCCTTAGAAATAGGGATTTGGCCCCTTGTCCTCAGTACCCCTCTGGGGAGAGGGTAACAAAAGGTAGAAAGACTGAACACCAGAGGGAATTGGGATGGAATGGGTACCAAGGGAGAAAACTTCATTAATCCTTTTCTCCTTCCCCCTCATACATGTCCCTGGCATCACTTTTGTGGACTTAATTAGAAGATGGTGATTAAAAGTTATGATGGGGATGGTCTGGGGTAGGGGATTGTTCCAGCTGACACAACCTGGGCAGGCTCCTAAAACTATTTTATGGACATACATGATCCCATTCCTGGTCCTCAACACCTTAGCTCCTTCCCAAGGTTGTGTATCTTGTTCCATTTGAATCAGGGATGAGTGAGGAGATTAGAAAAATAGACAATTGGAAAGTTTATTCTGTACTGTGTGCTTGTATTATGGTGATGAAAACTTACCTCATGTGATTGTCACTGGTGGGCAGGGAAGGTAGGCAAAATTACCTTTAATCCAGGCTTTTTCTCATTCCCCTT